TGCATCCAGGAACAACTCACTGCTGGCTTCTGGATCACTCTCCCTTGTCTCCTCCCCACTGGTCCAAGGCTCAGGTGACTCCTGGTGGCCAACCAGCCTCTCTGCGCCCTATTTGGAGTCGGAACCCTGTCCAGGGTCCTCCACATCCTCCAGAGCTGACTCATAGGGCCCCTCGCTGTCGGAGTCTGGTGGCAACTCCAACGGCTCCTGCTGGGCCACAAGTTCCTTAGAGAATTATACTAGTTTCTTTCAAATGAAACTGAATTACCTACCCGCTAACACCAGAAACAAGTCCCGCAATATTATCAATGACTATCATATTCTTTCAAGGGAGCATAATTGAATTCTTATTCTGTATATCTTTTTGTAACATAACAGGTAGTCAGAAAATAAATATTCACTTACCCTGATTTTTAAAGGTCTCCATCAATGTTTGAGTGATGTTCATCAGAAAAGATAACGGCAAACGCTCATTTGCCAGGATGCTTTCTAAAGCCTATCAATTGTAAAATATAATACAGACTTTCAAAGTTCATGCTACTATTTTTAAAAATAAAATCTAGTAATAGTTTACATTCTGGTATAAATCACTTGTTTCTATATTGCTTCACTATAGTATCATTTGAGCTGGAAACTTTGCTGCCCCTAAAGTAGACCCCAGGAGATATGGAGCTATAAAGAGAAAAATATAAATGCCAATGAAATAAGTCTTTTGTTTATGATAGGTCTTATTACAAAAATGGCCATACTTCACAAACTAGATTTATGCACTGGGTAAACACAGAAACCGTGTTGTAAGTAAATCCAGTTTGGAATTATTTTTAAATAATTTTATGTCATGCAGTCCTCATTCAGGTAGCACATGTACAGTAGCTGCTGAGGGCTGAAATCAAATCTATAACCAGCAGGAGAGAAAATCAAGACCCACCACCATCAAACCTACACAGTGACAGAAAATAGAGCAACTCCCTTTCTTATATTCTCTTTTCCAATTTAAATAATTACAATATGCATACAGTATTCTGCCTTTCCTCCAGTATAGTCAAATTCCTTCCTGTCAGCACCAAGGAGGACAAAAATTTGAAGCTAAAATCTCCTAGAAAAACATTCTAATCACCAATATAAAAAAGTTCAATTTTTTTTTAACAGAGTTAACAACCATTAATTTGCAGATATAAAGCAGATTAATCTGCCACATAATGCATTTCCTAATTACCTGTTTTTTAGTAGAAGGATATTTAACATCTAGTATTAATTCCTTTACTTCCATCTCAACCGTATCTGGAAACAAAGATAAGAAATATAATTTCAAAAAAACATTGAGGCAAGAGGTTCTATATTCAAATTCTTCCTTTCGTAAATGACAAGGAATAGAATATTATTTGCTTAAGGCCAAATACTTCACCGACAGCTACTTCTGACTGATATAAACTTAAAATTCCTGTTTTTTCTGCTGTGTCACGGGACATCACAATGATCGTCATCTGTTTGCACTACAGAAAAGTCAGGATTTGCTCCAATCCAGTCAACACCAAGTAAAATAGTCTGTGTTTCTTCTAATCCTCTTATCTCAAGTGGTTGGTCGAAATGTGTTTCTCCAGTACCCTGACTGCTTTTAGAAGTTAGCTTCCTCTTTTTAACAACAACCTCCAGGACGGTTAATGTGTTTCCCTAAAAATAAGACTGGATCTCATTTTCTTTAGACTTCCAAAATAAGGATTTGGCCTTATTTTCGGGGAAGTCATATTATTTTTGAGGTGCAGGAGACTGCAAGTGTGGTAACCTCATGGCTGCTGCTGTGTTGCAATATTTTCAGGGAGGACTTATTTTGGGGGAGGGCTTATTTTTAGTACATGCCCTCAAAAGCCTGATTGGGCTTATTATCTGGGGAGGTCTTATTTTCAGGGAAACAGGGTAATTACACTGAAGCCATTGAACTGTGATCAAAACTACTACAAACACTGGCACAGAAAAGTAAGAAAATAGAGTAAGGCAAGTGAACTCTTGAGAAAGAAATTCACTGATAACTGATGCTTCAACGCACCATTCATACTTCCATAATGTAGACTTATATTATTATTATATTAGGTTTTTTATCCCATCTTTATTTATTAGTAACTCAAGGCGGTGAACATATGTAATACAGGTAGACCTCGAGTTAAGACCGCAACTGAATCTAAAATTTCCATTACTAAGCAAGACAGTTAAATGAGTTTTGGGCCATTGAATGAACTTTCTTGCCACAGTTAAATGAATCACTGCATTTGTTAAGTTAGTAGCATGGCTGTTATATGAATTTGGCTTTCCAGTTGACTTTGCTTGTCAGACGGTCATAAAAAGTGATCACATTACCCTAGGACAAAGCATCTGCCATAAAGACACACTAGCCGCCAAGTATCCCAATTTTGATTGCGTGACCCACATAAACACAAACATTCTACCATGGTAGCAAACACATTTAAAGCAGTCTATCAAATAACCTATGATTTGATTTTCCTCCGCCAAAGTAATGTTGAACTAAGTGCAATTTTAGAAATATTGTAATTTGAAAGATTTAGTATTTAAATATTTCCTAATCATATTGGAAGATTATACATTTTACTGTGCCATTCTAAAGTGACAGTTATCAAAACTGAGGTCCTCATGCAGGCTGCAATTCTATTTATATGCTGGCTACCACAAAATTAGGCCCAATTGCACAAGGTATTGGTGTTTATACTTTTTGCACAGGAGGCACAGCATTGCATTAATTACACAACACTAAATGAGGTTCAATCACCTTAAATAAAACTGTAGTCTCATCGTATTATGACCTTTAAAAAGACACCAGTATTATGATCTTGAATAGGAACAAAGACAAAACCTACCCAAATTTAATGTTTTAGCTTTCAGCAAGACAGCCAATTTTTTCAATAGATGCATATCCTTTGCTCGCTCACTCTTCTTGTCACTGAAAATATTAAAAATGTATACAATTATTTGTCTGCAACTGTGGTTGAAAAATAATAATTTGCCATTGCACTGATTTCTCTGTCAACTTTACTGAACAGGTCAGTTATGAAATATCAAAAACACTTGTCAGGCTGCCCCGACTTCCTTAGGAAGAAATGGATGCATAAGAGGCAACTGTGAGTTTACATCATTGTGGATATAATAATGATTTTACATGTAGATGGAATCCAGTCTCAATATCTGACTATGTGATGAACCATAACCATTTATTAAACGTATGTGTCTGCACGACTTTCAATACATCTGGGCAGCTTGCCACAATCAAAGAAATTACATAAAATTAATAAAAGATAAATATAAAACATGGCAAACAGTATGAAGCAAGGGGAGCTTACTCTCCCTCACCAAAGGCTGGTGACGATAACGGGCCACCCAGATCTTGGGGGGGGGGCACCTCATTCCAGAGGTCTGAAAAAGGGGAGTACACCCCCTTCAAATAACCAATTAAAAAGAAATTGTCATCTGATAACCTCCCTCACCATAGTGCTCGCCAATAGGGCTAGGCTCACCCTGTGTTCAGAGAAAGTTATACCACTTTTCATTAGATAAGCACTAGTTAATACAAATGCATATTTCAAGAAATATTATGAGCAAAAATGTATAAAAGCAAGATGGTGAGAATTCTATACTGTTGTTTTAGTAATGAAATAATAGTAATACTATTACAAGGTGGAAAATCTGGCTTTTCAGAAAGTGCTGTTATTATAAGTGAATTTGCTAGAGAAAAAATCCTAGTATCTCTCAGAACTGGGAACTGAGTATGTTAGACTAACCAATATCTCCACATTTTTTTAAAAAACCTTTATAATTCATCTCATAATATTGACTTAGTATAATTATGCAACATAAAACTCAAGAAGTCTTACCTCAGAGCTAAATGGAAAGGTACGTGAACTGTTTTTACTGTTCCTGATACTGGATCAACAAGGCAGATCTGATAAGTCTGAGGCTGCCAACCCTGACTTGTTACGCTGTTCAACCCCATTATTTTATAGCCAGGATACAGCAATCTAAATATGGGTTTGATAAATATAATAAAAAACATAATGATCAACATATATATTTGTACAAAACTATAGGCTTTAAAATATCATTATTTCAAACTCATAAATAAATATAAAGTGCACACATCTCATATTATATAGGACAATTCCTGGGTAAATGCAGTTTGTCAATTTGCTTGCAGATTTGAAAGTATTATCCCACATCTTTAATTTTTCTGGATCGTATGTGCATGCATAAAGCATATAGCTAGCAAATAAGAGCCGTGTATGAAGAGATGAGATGGCATTTTGATGAGCTTAATTTCAATTATTTTTCTGGAGACTATTCCGTCTTACATTTTAAAATCTCTTCTGTTACCAAAAATGTCTTACCTGCAGTGTTTTCCTACGTTGAAGGCTCCAACCCTTGGACCTTGTTGGGTACTCCATACTTCCAAAATTCCTCTCCTAGGAGCATAAATCACCAGGAACTGAGCCACTCTGCTTGGTCCCTGAGGGGTACTAGGAGAAGAAAAGTCTATCTTTATCGATTCCCTTTCATGTAGGTCTTCTGCAATCTGAATCCAACCAACCTGTGCATCACGATAGCCTGTGTGTGAAGGATAAATGGGTTAAGATGCTAGATATGTTTTGGTGTAATGGCTAGTTACATTGCTGGACTAAGAGTGAGGAGATGCAGATTTTAATCCTCCTTTGGACGTGGAACACAAAGTGGTGACTTTAGACCAGTCTCTCTTAGACTCTAGACTGGGAAGTTAAAAAAACAACCGGACCACTGTAGTAAATTACAATCTATAATCTGCAAATGGAGTGGTCTTTATCCTGAATGGATTGATTCAGGCTAGTAATAATCGTATCTGTGTAAAACAAAATATATGAGAATTCAATACTACACTGCAATGTTACTATTCCAGAGCTCATCTTTACACTTCACAGTCCTTTGTAAATCTGAATATCTGATATTTTAAACACCAACAGTCACTATTTTAAAATTCCCACTTAAAACTGAAATAAAAATTATCTCTCAAATAAATAAGTGACCATTATTTACCCCCCCCCCAAACTTATTAAAAGATGCTCAAACGATACCTTTCCACATGCGAACAGAAAGACCTCTTGCAACATCCAATAGAAGAATCCTTCCAAAATCATCAGTAATTGCTGCTAAAGAATTACAAGGTGACAAACATATCCTTTCTCCATGTCGACGAGAATCTGGGATTCCAAACCTACAGTCAAATAAAAGCAAATCTAGAAAACAATCTCTAAATTTGGCTCCCCAATTACTAAATAAAGTAATAATACCAGCTGGTTTATATTCGAGTTGAGAAACACCTTGGAATTTCAGGGCTGTTGGCTAACCTGGGAAATCAGGGCAACCATTTATGGGCAGTGTTATCTTTCAAAGTCAAATTTTAGACTTATAGAAATTTGGAGTTTGGGTAAGAATTTCAAGACAATCTAATAGGGGCAGGTGCAAAACATACAAAATAAACAATACATAAATTTCTGTTGAAATATAATCCTCACTTTTTTTGGCTTTTTCTTAGACATTATGAACTATAAACCTAATTAATGATTAAGTCTTTGAGAACCCAAATGTAGTTTACTGAAAACCATCCTTTAGGATAATGTTTATTTCTAAGTCCAGGGCAAGGGGTTTTTTTGTTACCAAACTTATCCAGAGCTCACAATTCTTCCACAAAAAATTAATTTTTGTTACACTAAGATCTAACTGCCATTCCAATAAAATTGCAACAATATAAGAATCCCATATACACCCAGAGTAAAGAGCAAATGCTAGCTTCAGTCAAACTATTTCTACATAGGAAGAATCTCTTCGAGATAAAACAGCTGCAGCTGGAGGAAAATAGAAACATCTTTATTGTGCACAAAACTGCTTGGATGAAATATATGTAGTCTGCATATATCTCGTTCATATATGGTTATGGCTCAAGCATCCTCAGGGAATAATGGCAACACTGGTAATGAAATTATCTCATAATCTCTCTGGAAAAAGTATTTTAAAAGACTTGCCTCACAGGTAAAGGAGTTGCAGGTTCAACCTTGGGTTTCTGCTTTTGCACAGGCTCTTCTTCCTGTTTGTTTTTCCAGCCAAGCCAGCCGCTTCAATGCAAAGATTAAAATTAAAATTTCAATGCTTCAGTTTAGAGGAAACACACAAAAGGAGTAAATTGACTGCATCTTCCATCTATTATACATTACCTAGCAGCATTAAAGAATGCAGATGTCAGCTTACTTGCAACGGTGAAAGCAACATGAGACAATAATGGCTGTGAACTGCCCTAAAGAGAAGATAAAAATGCTGTTGTTTATAAATAGTGAAAAATAATTGACTCCTTTTTATTAACCTTTGTTCTGAGAACTTTGTTTACAGAAATAAAACTCTCTGTAAGGAATAACTAACTTTCATCCTGCATCATTTGCTAAATTATATCATTTCAGAAGAAGAAATTAACCTTTTTTGATAATGTTCTAACTACACAGAAAAAGATTTAAGAGCATCGAATTTTGCAGGCTTAAAAATGTATCATTTTGGTCAAAAATATATGGTGACAATGTTATTTTATTTACAAATTATTATTCATTTAACAGGAAAGAATTATACCGAGTAACATATAGTGATTGTTATAGAATATAAACTCATCTATCAACTATTAACAATTCCCTATATATAATAATCATACTGCATAAGAGAATTACACAGAATAGGAAAAAAGGAGCCCCAAATAGCATTATTGAATAATATGTTCAATATTTATACAACTTCCTAGCATAAAAATCTTAAATGTGAACATGTGACCAGAGGTAGAAGACATAATAGGGGTAGAAATATACATTTCTGCAAAATATAAGACCATAACAAGATCCATGAATTATGGTGTGCCATAGCAGCATTCGCTTTGAAGCCCATCAACCACATATAAAACAGTGTTTCAGAAAGTCAGATATTAATTGGCAGAATATACCCTGAGCCCCAGAATTTATTTTAATAGGGATTACTTTATTTCTTAAAGTAAGGACTTTTACACAAATCTATGCAAAGTTCAGTTCTAGAAATGGTGATAAACTATAGGTAGTTCTTGAGTTATGACAGCAATTGGGATTGCCATCACTAAGCGATGTGGTTGTAAAGTGTGATATCAAGTGACTGCATTGCTAGCACTAACTTGAGATGTGGGTTGTTAAACACAAAGTAGAGGGAGTCCTAAGTAAGAAGCGGGGAGGGGATGCTTCAGGGAACTGGGGGAGACCCAGGGAGGTTCAGCATAGTGTGGGATAGAGGGAGAAGAGCGGGAAATATGCATATGAACATACAAAGATACAAGGTGCATGCATGTGTTTGTGCAAACATAGGGAGGCTGAGGGAAGGCGGGCACTGATGGATGTGTTCCTGTGTGTAAAGGCAGAGAAGCCCAAGAAAGGCACAGTAAATGTGAGTGAAGAAACTGAGGGAGACAACTTACTAGAATGACTTGCTACCTTCCCTGCTGGATTCTCAATTGATTATGCTTGTGAGAAGCCAACATAGAAGGTCAGCAATCGCAATCACATAACCAGGGATGCTGCAACCGGTGGTTAAGTGTGAGCTGGTTGCCAAGAATCCTAACCTAGTTCTATAGTACAATAGCCAGAATTTCAAGAACAGTAAATACCTTCATTCAGTGCCATAACTTTGAACAATCACTAAATAAATAATCATAATTCAAGGACTACCTGTAAACTAATTAGACTATAGATGACCTAGAGAGGACTCATCAAATCATAACATAATTTCTGCTTTTCCCATTCAAAAACTTCATTGAAACTAAGACTATTCGTTAAAAGTTCAGCTTTGAAACCTTAACAGCAACTTCTTCCTTGCAGTTCTATTGGAAAGGACAGAGGGGGTAGGTTCCCAAGCTTTACGCTTCAGATTGAGCATAATATTTCAAATGTAATCAATTCCATCCACCAGAAAGAATTTTTATTAATTTATCAAAGATATATCCAGGATGCTTTATGTACTACTGTAGCAGTTGTTAAAAAAAACATTACTCTGGTTTCCTTTTTTTCCTTTAAAAAAACAGGAATGTGAATTTCCAATTTCCAAGCTAGTGAGGCATAACCATATATTATGGGTACAATATATATTCTACATAAGAATCTTGCAAAAGTTGCTTAGGCAGGAAAATATACACTAAGCATGAAAGGTTTAAAAAGTTTTTAAAAGTTTCCTAGTTGACATCTGATGACTGCATCCATATAGTTTTCTTGGCAACTATACAAAAGTTATTTGATATTGCCATCTTCTAGGAAATATTTCTCAATCTACCCTACAGATATGAATTTGCAGGAATGCCTCTGGGTGTTATCCAAGCCCATATGACATTAACCAAGATTGAGTAGATACTGCCCCCTGCTGTGGCCCTCTGGGGAAATGTCTTACCTGAGGAATGTGTGTTCAGCACTAGAGCAATGTTCATTAAATTCTACCCTACAGAAATTATTTAGGTTCTTTTCCCTCCAAAAATTCATGCTCAGTTACCTTTGGAGAGGGGAAAGGCACAAGAGAGTTTGGTTTCTGCAATTGTTAAATATGTGGAAGATTGTAATGTGAACTAGGTCACCAAACCAGTAGATCCTGATCGACAATAATATCATTATGCAGGTAAAAGTTTTTTTAATTAAAAAGTAAAATGCTCTTAGTTTCATTTTCTTGATCCTTGGTCTAAGACTGTAATAATATCCATATTATTACAGCATACTAATAATATGCTGCTATTTTCCATTAGTAGCAAAGTAAAAAAGAAAAAAAACCATAACAGAGTCAACAAGAAAAGAAGTGGGAATTATGGGAGTTGAAGTACACAAGTCTTAAAATTGCCAAGTTTGGGGATCCCTGATCCAGCCCATTGCATCTTACACTTCCTGACTGAGCAAGTTCTTTACCTCAAGGGCATAGAAGAATCCAGTGAAAGGATTAGACCCCACAGTAATATATTGAGACATAGCAGGAGGATTGTTCTTTATAGCTGCATTAAATCCGCCAATAGTGGAAGCAGTCTTCATCTGATCAAAAGGTGATAAAGTCATGATACCTATATGAGATAATGAAAATAAAGCTCTAAAAAGAAGTTTCTCAGATCCTAATATCTGTTCTGGAATTGATCCAAATACTGTATGTTCAATATTTTAAGGATTCCTAACCTATACACAGCTCTGCCTCCTAACCACACTCCTAACAATCATTCTTGTGGGAGAAGTCCCAAGGAGAAGAACTGGACCTTCAGCCAATATCAACCTCCATGCTTTGACTTCAATTTTAGGCATCCTGTTTCTATTCTGAGAAGTGCATTGGCTACCTTCTGCTGGTATAGAACTTAGAAATGTAGTTTGGGGCACATCAGCACTTCCACCTGGCTTCATACAGTACCTGGGCTAAGGTTTTAGCTCAAAACAGTTTCAAAGCAGGCAGTATTAATTCATCTCCTTTGGTAAAATAGAATTATTTGATAGCATTTGTAGATCTTAATGCTGTCTCAGAGAAGTCTATCTGCAGATTATCAGTCCTTGCTTTAAACTCTCTCCAGTACAATATGCATGTTTTTTTAAAAAAAGTAATTCATGGTGAATAAGGATAACAATTCAGTAAGGATGATCAATGTAATACTTACCAACACTAACGTGATCAACAATAGTATCCACATCCTGCAAACCCCACTTCTTATAGGCTAGTGGAGGTGGCTGAACATTTTCATTGCCTGCAGCTGTAGCTGGCCAATTGATTAGACATAAATTAGAAAGAATAGTTATTTTTAAAATGTTTAACATGGATTAGTCAACATGTAATGTATTACAAAAATATTTTTAGTTATAAAGAACAGAATAAATTGCACTGTTTATATTGCAGGTGCCCAGTTCTGAAAAATGTTGCTAAGAAAACTGCAAGGACTTGCCTCTGGAATCACCAGGAATCAAGACTGACTTGAAAGCATAAGAAACCTATATTAAAAAAAGAAAAACTACTAAAACTGAAACCCTACATGTAACTTGCTTATGAGTACAGTAAGTCCTGCCAAGCTCAACAGACCTACTTCCATGTAAACATACATACAATTCTAGCTACTATAGCACATTAAAGGAGTAAACAAAATTAAAATCCTTGCTCAACTCCATTTAGTTGATAGTCTTTAGAAATCCACAGGAGTTTTGCAAGGATGTAGGTTGCTATCATAATAGTTAGCTTATACGTTATATATGTATTGGTAGGTTTCTTTTTCCCCCCCTGCAAACTATCTAGAGATAGTGTGTGAAAATTATTAAGCCCTCTTACTTTTTTAGAAAATGCAGCAATTAATAAGGAATTTATCTAGTTCACGCCAGCACACTCTTCAGGTACTAACATACAAAAAGTGTGAATTAAAAAAATAAATATCCAATGTTGAAGATTTGGAAGAATTCATTCCTGGTACCTGGCACAATCATATGTGAAAAACTTATAAAGTCAAAAATCTGAAATTTCACACAAGAACACTGAAACCTTATGAGAACATGCATACACGTATATTAAAGCAAGCTTGTATTAAACTTAGGGGTTTTATAACACTAAGGGTTTCACAAGCAGTACATTGCTATGCCCTGAACAAACTGTATGATCGAAAAGTAAAACCATGTCCTTTTATAGCAAGTATTGCAAAGAAAGAAACTATTTTAATAAGGCTGAACATACCCCTGGCTACTTGATTTCGACAAGCCCGGAGAGACTGAAATAAGCTAAAACCGTCAATTGTCACAATTGCTGAAGGATATAGGATGCTCAGTTCCTCATTCTAAATAAAAAGAAAGATACTAATCACTTTGAGGCAAAAACAGTATATATGCAAGTACCCAAATATGCTATCCTGTTTACTATTTCTACAGAAGTACTAAGTCCCCTCCCAGAGAGACAGTCTATGGACATTGCTGCAGCAGCACCAATATCTGACTCTAGCTATTGCTAGAGCACAAATAGCTGCTGGAATTAATATACTGTATTTTTCAGAGTATAAGACACACCTTTCTCCCTCAAAAAAGGCTGAAAATCTGGGTGCATCTTATACACTGAATACAGCATTTTTTGCCTCCTGAAACCCTTCCCCCTTCACCAAAATGGCCTTGCGTAGCTTGTAGGAGGCTTTTGGAGAGGTCCTGGAGGCTAGGAAGGGCAGAAATGAGCAAAAAAAAACCATTTTTCCTCAGTTTTGCCTCCCACAGCCCCCAGGAGCACTCTATAAGCTTCCTAAATGATATCCATGCCCTTTTTGGTGAAGGGGGGGGGCATTTTTGGAAGGTTTGCAGAGTGCAAAAACTT